TGAGTACATAGAGAGAGAAGAAGAGGAAGGCCGGGGGGGAAGAACAGTGACAACTTGACAGGCCTATTCCCTAAAGAGAGCTTTTAAATTTTTCACTTATTCACTAAGTGGATTGAAGGTAAAAAGTATATTTGAATTTGGAGCACAGGAAGCATCTGGGGATAATGCCACGTATGACCACTTGGTGTCAGTGTCCAATTGAAAATAAATTGACTGAAGTTTGTTTCCAATAGTACCACCCAACATTTTTAGTAAATGTAACACAATAATCATAATAGTAATTTTAAAAGGGCAGGGGAAAGATGGAGAGAAGAAAAAAGGGGTCTGGAATATTATGTTTCAAGCAAAACAACTCTGAAAATCTTTGCTTGAAAATTTTCTTCACCCTTATGCTGAGAAAACTCTCCCAGACTTTAAATATTGACAAACAATGCATATTGAAAATCTATTCTTACAAATTAAGTATAGATGTATCCTTTCTGTGTTATATGATAATTATTTTAGCCAAATACTAAAATATTTATCCTTAATATATGGAGATTGATTCAATGTCATGTTAACAATATTTTGATTGTTGGTTTTATATTTACATACATATACATACATACATATATACACGCGCACACACACACACACACACATATATATAAAATATTGATAATATACCAGCACAAAATGTGATAGTAATAGAAGGCCAAACCATATGAGTTAATATTCCAACTCCTGAGTCTCATTTTCAGAAGTAAGGGGACCATAAGCAACCCTTATTAAACATTCTCTGGACCATGGTACAAAATTTGTGTTGCATTATCCTAATGTTAAGATCATAGGAAACTTATTTCATGGTGTTTAAATTGACCCTTGGTTAACTGGCCAAAACCTAGTGTGCACACATCTTTTTATGCCCTATTATGCTTACATTCCACATGCAGCAGCATTGTTTTTCCTCAGTGTGATAAATTAGAAATACAACCACAGGAACAGGCAACCAAATAATGTGAGATGTGATGAGCTGTCTTAAGCTCTCATTATTCTTCTGTTTTAGTGATTTTTATGTGGGCACTGAGAACCTGCTAATAAGGTACAATATGTAATCCTTATGGGCAAATCCGTATAGAATTCTGATCAATGACCTTTAGGAAGCAGTTCAATCGGTTGCTGATGTTCTTTCATCTGGTTTAAAATTACATACTTTTATGTCGAGCCTATAGGATAGAAGTCCTGAAAGCAGAGAATGATATTTGTTCAATACATTTTGCAGAAGCTGTTTGTTTATAGCATTTAGATTTAGTGAAGAGACTGACAGTAACAATGCCAGACTTTGGAACTCATAGTGATCCTAAGAAAGACCCTCTACTTCAAATTAAAATATGCAAGAATTTGTTGGGTTGTGGCAATTTTAGATTTTGCTTCTAATATAATCTCTTTTTGTCTCCCCTTGCTTCATTTCCAATTAAGGCTGCCTGAAAATGAGATCAGGGAAATGGCTGGTGACTGTGAGATAGCGCATGAAGATACAGGATCAAATGGTGGTGGAAGCCCGAAGCACCTTAAGGTGCAGTGTATGCTCAAGTACTGTAGCTTTTTGTTTGAGAAACAAACAAAATGGTTGCAATATTCCATACATTGGCATGGGCATCTTTTCCTCAGAGAACATCTGAGCCTTGGAATCAAGAGATAGTAACTGTCAAGACCTCACTGGTCTCACACCACTTCCTGCCAAATGTGAGATGTTGAAAACTAGTTTAGACAGAAGCATCTCATATGTCTGGGTTGCAGACACGTACTGATTCAGCAGTTCCAAAATTAGAATTGCCTGATATTCTCTAACTGAATTTCCTTCATCATTTCCCTATGTTTTGAACTATCATTAGAAACTGGCCAGAAAAGGGAATTATGCATATTTCATCCTAATGAAAAGCTACCTTTGGAGGCAATGGCCCTGTTCACACATTATGCTAAGCCAAAAACAAACTTGTCATATTCTGTTTAGCACAGTACAAAAAACCATCCACTGTGGTTTAATATAATGTGGGGAAAAAAGCCTTATTCAGCAAAGCATGTTCTAAAATATCCTGGTTTGGTGTCATGTGAGAAGACTGTTGTATCAAGAGACAGCTTCTTTTCCAGTCCAGATGCCATATCCTGGTTATAATACTCTCCTCTATGATTCTTTTCCACATTTATATAGGATGGGCTCAGAATGAGATTATGGAATATTACTTTGTGCAATATATGATTGTTAAGTCCCTAATCTATTCTCTAATGTATCATGACAGCACCAGGCTGTCATCTTGCTTCTGCTAAGCAAAATCTCCAAATATCTACAGTGAACAAAGGGTATCAGAAAACACAGAGAGAGTAACTGTCTCTTCCATACGCAGAAAAAAATGTCTGGAATGTAGTAGCATACAATAATGCCTGCTACTCAGCATGTGTATGTATTTATAATTTACTGCCCTACACAAACACATCCTATTATTCCCTTTCTTTTTTTCTATTTTTCCAAAGCATAATTGTTCAAGAATGGTGATACATTTTATTTTCTGCTCAGCAACAATCTAACCATGAAGCTCTATGAGATTTTTGCCTGATGTTAATAGATTAGAAGGGTGGGAGGGAAGAGCATAATCATTACCCTCTCACTGAATTCTATTGGAGTCTATTGGAGTTGGGCCACCAATAAATTTAAATAAATTCCACTTTGGAAACAAACTCCTATTCATTTCTTGATCATCGTAAAAGGCAGCTGCCATTTGAAATCCTTCAAAATGCAATGGTTGCAGGCAGGTAGCTAGAGCCAATGAAGGCAATCAGGCCTGTTCACGAGGCATTCTTTGCTTGTTCCATTCAGGTGGCAGTATAGTGTAGGCCAGCTGCAGCTCTGTATGGCACAGGAAATCCTCTATTGGTATTCCCTTTCTTTAAGTGCTGTACTTTAGTAATAGCACTAGAAACTGGAGACTGAGCAAGCAACATTTTGTGTCATAGTTGTCAGAAATATAGATTCTGCATCTCCTTAAAGTGTAACAGCTTGATTATGAGATAAATTAGTCTTTACCAGGCTAGTATTCTCCCTGTATTTTGGTTTATGGCTTTTAAAATTCCCAGCCACAATGGTCAATGGCTGGAATTGTAGACCAGTATACCTGAAGGGCACTAATTTGGAAAAGATTGTGAAAAGATAAGATCAATGACCAGTGGCTAGTTGGTAGAAAATGTACAACTTGGTCTTAAACTGTAGAACCCTTTTTCCAACATTGGGTAATGGGGTCTGGTGGCCCTCATTTAAATTACCCATGGTGCCCAAAGCAATGCTTATTGGGCACACTGTGGGATATTTAAATGGTGACTTTTAGTAACCCAGTACTTATTGGATTGCTCCTAGCATTTTCTGCCAGAAGCGCTGCTGCAAAGGCTCATTCACATAGGAGGAGGACCAATCAGAAGCCCCAGCTCAAAACTGGAGCTGGGTTTGTCCTTGGCAAGGCACTACCTCTCAGCCTCAACTGTTTCTCAGGGGTGGTTAGACATCAAGGAGAAAAGTGTAACAAATATAAGAATGAGACAACAGAATGATTAGTTAGACTACTTCTGTGACTTTCTTTCTGTCTACCCTTATTAGAGTGTGTCGTGAGAAAACACTGCTGGATTCAACTTGGGTCTACCAGCTTCATCCTTCTCAACTTTGCATAGGGAAGATCTGCTGAAAAAAAGTATTTGCTACCCACCAGGACAGTTCAAATTATTTCTTTTTGTGTATTTTTCTTTCTTTACTTCATTTAACAAATGGCTACTCATTACCTATGTTCTCTTATTTTCTGTGGAACAAGTCTGTTAAAACTAGCAGATGTGTTTTAGCAAAAATACAGTTTTACAATGAATTGATATTTTTGTGTTGAGCATTTATCTTGGCACTGTGACACTTAGCTCACTCACAAGGCACACTACGCACTGCCCAAACTGTCTACTTTCCTGTCAATATTCTGGCTTTTGGTCAGGGATTTTTTTTGCTTGTTTATAACAGTTCTTTGGGGTAATCATGATATCTAAATGCTACTAAGTAAAATGTCTTTCAGTGGGTACTTATCCTGTAAGGAGTGGTGTTAAGGTCCAGCTGCAGGAGATTGGTGGAGGAGCAGAATTATCTGGCTTGTCTGTCAGGGAGTGGAGCTGGGAAAGTTATACCTCACTGGAACATCATAAGGAATAGGGTATTGATAAGGGGGAAAAATAAAAAGAGATACTAAGGAATCCTTCTACCTGGTGCATAATGGCTTGAAAAGTTTAATTTGTATAAGAAGAATTTATAGGAAACTTTATACCATGGTCTCAGTTTTTTGGGGGAGAAGGAACTAATGGGCAGGAAATTACTATATTTTTAAAGCTACTTCAGATGTACAGAAATGAAATCTGAGCCTGTGTATAGCAACCATTTTTATATTTTAAACATTGTTTTTGTATAGATTTCTCTGTTCACAAATACTGTAGGTTGAAACAAACCTGGCAAAACCTTGCAGTGCTCTGTGCTGATAGAACACACATCTCATATTTTATGCACTTGCATTGCTAGAAATTGGCAAGTGCCTTAAAGTCACACATTAAACACAATGGATACTCCAATGTATTTAGTGCAGATGCCTACTCAACAGCCATTGTGTTTTGATGAAATACCCCCACTGAAATAACCCACGCAGGAAAGGGTTTTCAGTGAATCATAGCTGAGGTGACATTTGTCACAGAGATTCATCACAAGAGGCAAATTGTCATAACTCTTCCTCTGAAAAACATGGTTGAAGAAGATGTAATATCGTTTTCTATTTTTTAAAGGATTGTCCCCTTGGATCAGAGGAAAAATCCACTACCATATCCTTAAAGTTATTACTTTCATTCCTTCCTTTTCCTTCTCATTCCTTCTAAATTAAGGAAGGCATATCCTGCTTGATGGGGAGTCATGGATTCCTTCATACTGGTATTAAAAACACAATGCTATCATGCACGTGCTATTTAAATATTTGAATTTCAACTTTAAAATATTCATTATAATTTAGATTTTTAAAGGTTAATATTGACCTCAAACACTGAATAAGCCTTTCACAACTCTGAACATTGTGCAGTTTCTTGCTGGTCCTTTTCCAATATAAAATATCAAGTGCTCCAAGGTGTTTTTTAGTATCAGTAATTGTTACTGGAGGACAGTATTTAAAAAAATAAAGACAAAACTGAAATAATATAAAATCTTGGAAGATAGAAAATATTGATATCAGGTTTAAAATATTCCACAAACACATATTAAAATGTACAAGGAAGAATTCTGCAAATAATTTGGGAGCAAATTTGTTTCATTCTACTTATTTCTTAATTTATTCTTCTATTAGCATTAATAACTTTGATCAGGCATTTGGGACTATTGACCAAACAGCAGACATAATCTTTTTCAGTGTTATATATTACAAGCAGCTGCTGTCAAAGTTTATGTGAAGAAGAAGCATTTTTAGTCTTGAAATTTCAGATTCTTTGACTCTCTTTCTAATCACACAGCTGATGTGGGCCAGAAAATGAACCTTTTAACTTTTTTGTACCTGGATCTCTGCCTTTTTAATCACTAGCTGTGAGACTTAGGCTAAAACCGTTCTACCAGCCCAAGGCCCTTGTGAATATTGAAACTATATGAAAGGAAACACCCTGTCATCCTGTGTAAGGATCAAGTTTTCATTTCATATGCTGATTCCTGGGGGTTTCTGGATACAACAGTTACTATTTTTGTGCAAGTTCTATTGATTAGCTCTATTCATAACTTTAAATTTTAAGTAAGACTGGAAGCAACAATATGGCAAAAATTAAGATTTCAGTCATCTTTCCTGCACTAATTGTCCCGTGAACTAACTAGACATCGCTCATTTCATCAATTATATCTTTGCAGCCATTACTTATCTGTTAGACTTGTGCAAAAGTCTATAACTGCTTTCTTAGAAGAACCTCCTAGACATTATACATCTAGAAGACAAGCCCTCTGAATCCAGAATGAGGTCTATACAACAATTTATGGTGTGGTATGAGCTATTCAGGTTGACAAATAGTACTGTTGGACCTAACAATGGCATTTCAAGCAGCCTTTAAGTATCTAAAGGACTGTCATTTAGAAGATGGGGCAGAATTGTTCAGTGTTATTCCAAAAGACAGAACAAAAAACCATGGGTTTAAATTACAAGAAGTAGATTTCAGAAGGACATCAGGAAGAATTTCCTAACTATAAGAGTTGTTCAACAATGGAACAGACTGCCTTTGGAAATGGTAGATTTTCCTTTGCTGGAGGGTTTAAACAGAAACTGAGTGGTCATCTGTTATAGATGCTGTAGGACTGGATTCCTACACTTGTCAGGGGGTTGGACCAGATGCTATCCGAGGTCCCTTCTATCCCTTACATTCCATGATTCTATGATTTTAAGTGCAATGTGATAGAGGTTAGGAAATGTTGTATTTGATTCCGTAAGCATTTTCTGAAGTGACAATGTGTTAGAGTATGCCAAGGTAAAACCAATGTTTTATAGCATTTCTTCTTTTTCTTTTTTCTTCTCAAAAATGTTCACACATGATACATCATTACAAAGGGAGTTATAAGGCTAACGATACAATTTCAGATTCAAGTAAATGAGCTGCAACTTTTTTTAAAGAAAACGTTGAGGGGATTTGGATCAGTGAAGCAACGTTCATGGAAAGATTTAAGTCTCCCTCTGTCCTCCATGCTTTCCTATTCTGTGATCACTTCACTAATATAGCATTGATACACATTTACATGGGCATGAAACTACATTAATCTATGTATGATCTGTAGGTAAACCTTCTTAGATTGCAAGCATATAGAAGCAGTCTCAGACAGTGGCACCACCACAATCACCTTGTGTAGCTCTAGAAGCTAAGTAGGGTAAGGAAAGACCATCAGAGATTTGCAGGGTAGACTAGACTAAAATGTTGGAAAAAGCATTCTGGAATAAATGAATGGCAAGTAATTTTTGTACTGTTACCAAGAAAACTGCATGATCTGTCCAAGAAATCACCAAGGGTCAAGCTCATCTGAAGACTGCTTTTATACATGGGAAATGGGAATGAAATCTAAATTAAATAGATATATACAGGATTGTTTTGTCAGAAGTAAATTTAAGCCTAAAACACTAAGAAGCTTTCAGTCAGGATTTTATCATTGTGTACATTTCCCAATCTTAAACCTGCTATTTGTAAAACTAATAATTTCTGTTCCTCTTAATTATTTATTATGAGCACTTTCCATTGCTTCATCATATTTGGTGATCATCAGAAGGTTCTTCCTCTCAAATTTCATAAACAATTCTATCCTGGTGTGTTTATGTGTGCACATACGCATTCACACACACACACACACAGAAAATATTCTGTCAATAAAAAAGATATAATGGCATTTTTGCCCCTGCAGCCATTCATGTTCTCTCTTGACCTTATATAAACTGGCTGAAGTTGGATCAAGGATATATTTACCAAGGCAAGCATTGTTCCTAATTATTCCCACAGATGCCATAACTGTGTGTATTTTATTGTGGCAATGCTCATTGCCTGGATATTAAAATGTGTGATTCAGCTACAGAAAAGGAAAATGGTTTTTTTTTTTTGGCACGTTACACAATGCATTTGAGAGGCCTATACTTATCACAGAATTTGTGAAGTGGCTGTCCATTTGATGTTTCTCAAGCATGAATCATTAGCCATTGAGTCAGTATTACCACATTATGTCTGCACCCAGCAAAGGAATACTACAAGCCCTAATTTGTGGTCGTGTAAGAGCAAGCAGATGCATGCTTCGCCACGAAGTCAGGAATTTTAAAAAGTATGGCACTTTATTCTGTAATAAGCTTACACAATCCTAAAATACACAATGCCAACCATCCAAATCTGTTCAGGCAATCACAACATTCACTCCCTGTTTCTTCCTAAATTGCTGGGCAGCAAGCTGGCTTCTCACATTGATTTTGGACATCGTACCATCATTATATATTTTTTAATGGCTGTTTTTGCATGGTGTGAACATTCCTTCTGCATGTGTTCCATAGTTGGGAGATATTAGCCAACCAAATGGAAGTCTTGCTAAGCTAATTCTTTTACAGATGGAGAACTCAGTTCTTTATATATTAGACACATCCTTTGTTCTATGAGAGTTTAATCATACTCTGACCTTTTCAGTCCTGCTTTTTATCATAATCCTTGTCGCTCTACAAATTGATGTTAGTAATGTTCACTCTTAAACACAATACATCATAAAATATTTTTAAAAATCTGAAGAACAAATACAAGATTCATTGGTTCTGGTTTAATTGGAGTGGTAAGTGTTTCCATTGGATTAAAACCTAACTGATTTACATAACCAATTACAAAATTAATAAGCTGTGGCTCAAGAATAGTTTAGTTGAATTATGGTGATAATAGAAAAGCTGCAAATTTTCTTTAGTAACTGTGAGGAAATAACATTTTTGGCTGCTTGCTACTGTGAGAATTAACTGAAGTGGCAAACATTTCCCTTGCCTGCCCAAAGAGATCACAGAGATGGGGTGAAAGAACTTTAGAAGAACATGCCAATATATTTTAGAAGTCAGATCAATGAAGCCATTGGAATGCATATGTGATTACAGATACAAGCAATAAAATGCAAATAACAGAGCAATCAGTTCAAGATTTGTATTTCCAAGCAGACATATATCTAAATTCAGATGGCAGCAGCTCTACTAGAACTCCCACCTTTGCAAACCCCATGGTTTTCAAGTACCTAAAATCTCAGTATTGCCTCTCACATAAAATCTCACTTCAGATTTTCTGTGGCCTTAGATTCCCTCTCAGCAGCACAAAATGTTGATGCACATGAGTCTACTTTTTCCAGATTAACGAATTTGCATGGGTTTTTCTTTGGTTTTAAGAAGTGTATGGTTCAAATATTTATTTTATTTATTTATTTGTCCAATTTATATAGCCGCCCATCTTGCTACAAATTACTCTGGGCAGTGTACAACAAAGCTAAAACAATTAATAAATACCTAAAACAGTTATAATTACTATTATTAAAAACATTAAAAACTATAAAAAGCAAAGCTAAGACAAAGAAATAGTAGGTGAAGGGATGTTAATAATAATGGAGCCACCTCACAAGTTCACCAGTCCCCTGAGATCCCTAGGCTTGATGGCACAACCAAGTCTTGAGGGACTTACAGAAGATCAGAAGTGATGGAGTCAACCTCACCTCAGGGGGGAGAATATTCCACAATGCAGGCACCACAGCAGAAAAGGCCTGCAGTCTAGGGCTGCCAAATGTAGCTCCCTCAACGACAGAATCTGTAATATGTCCTTTCTGCCGGATGTGGTGGGACAGGCAGATGTAATCAGGAAGAGGCAGTCCCTCAAGTAACCTGGTCCCACACCATGTAAGGCTTTAAAGGTCAACACCAGCACCTTGAATTGGACCTGGAAACAAACCGGTAACTAATACAGCCTGCAAAGCAGAGGTGTCATGTATGTTCTACCAGAAGCACACATAACTGCTCACCCTGCTGTATTTTGCACCAGCTGAAGTTTCCAGATAGTCTTCAATGGCAGCCCCATGTAGAGTGCATTACAATAGTCCAACTGAGAGGTGACCGGGGCATGAGTGACCGTGAGTAGGGCCTCTCAGTCTAGGAACAGGTGCAGCTGGTGCACAATACAAAGTTGTGCAAAGGCCATCCTAGCTGCAACTGCCACCTGCTCATCGAGTAGGAGACATGAATCCAGGAGGATCTCCAAGCTGCGCGCAGGGTCTGCTTGGGTCAGTGCAACCCCATCCAGCAACAAAGATAGCATAGTCCTAGAACCGGGAGGCCCCAAAACCCAGAGCCACTCAGTCTTGCCAGGGTTCAGGTGAAGCATGTTGTTCCCTATCCAGGCCCTCGGAGTCTCCAGAGAGTGGGATAAGATTAAGCATCATTTAATTCACCAGGAGCAGAGATATACAATTCGGTATCATCAGCATACTGATGATACTTCACCCTATGGCGACAGATGAGCTCACCCAGCTGTCTCGTGTAGATGTTGAATAGGAGAGGAGAGAGCACCAACTCCTGCGGCACCCCACACCATAGGGGCCAAGGTCAGGATCTCTCCTCCCCAATCACCACCAACTGGAATTGACCCCAGAGAAAGGAGGTGAACAAGCACAACACTGTGCTGCCCACCCCCAATCCTCTGAGTCGATCCAGAAGGATACCATGGTTGATGGTATCAAAAACTGCTGAGCAGTCAAGCATATTTATTTATTTTATTTATTTATATTTCAAATTTGTCACTGCCCATCTCACTGCAGAGCGACTCTGGGTGGTTTATAATAAATATGTGTGGAACTTTAGCAATAGCTGGGGTAGTGAAAAGCATTCTAATGAGATATTAATCTGACCTATTCAACATAAATCAATGGCAATTTCATAGGCATT